AGAGCAAGTCTATTTCCCGAGGCGCTTGCGCTTGCTCGAGGGGAACTGGAATCTTGCTGATCCAGAAATGATATACTTTAACTTTTTTATTATACCGATACAAACAAGACATTTGAAAAAAATTATATTCAAAACTGTATTCAATAACAATGTTTAATTCCAACAGGAAAAGAGAAAATATACGACAAAACATAATAAAGTCATGAAAGGAAATCCATTTTTAAGCGGTTAGCTTCGCTAGCCGCTTTATGGCATGTGTTCGATTTTTATCGACACCGGAAACTTCCTCTACCTAGTAGCTATGATTTGTTTCTAACACATATAACATATGTTAAATAAAATCAAGACTATCAAAACAACATAATCTCTCGGTTTTTTAATTTTTTTCTGATTTTGTTTGTCAATGAAATAAATTTATAATTGTTGTATTAAAAAAAGTTTATGTATAGGAGCATTTGGTGTCGAGATTAAATTTCCGTGACATCAGCTGATTGCGATCGGGCCCTGTGACGAAATTCGAAGTCAGCATGAAGTTTAGCTGATAACATTATCAACGCGTTAGATTTAAACTTTAGGAAGAAATGTATAGCGAGAAATATCATATTTGAACCCAATGCTACACGTAAACCAGTAGGCATTTCCGATTTATGTGTTAAATTGAAGCCTGAATCGAACAGGGGGTCAAAATGAAGTTGGACACCTTGTGTATTTATATATAGAGGGGGTAGAATGTTGCGATATTTGGCTAATTTAGAGACTTACTGATAAAAATGCAGGTGGCTGTGATTAATTATAAGGCACCCCTCATGAACAATAAATATTTGACCGAATTATGCTACTGGGGACAGGGAGGACGGGTTAATTACTGGCTAAAGGGGTTGAAGGTTATTACCGACTGCAAAACATCGGAGAATCTCTCGATCGAGTTTCATTTTCCAAAATATTAAGGCATCCCTTTAATTAACTTAAGTAATACTAGTACACGAAGAAAGCCTTTATATAAAAATACTGAATACATCTGTAAGTTGTACAGTTATGGATTACTTCCATAATGAAAGGTTTGTTTTCTTCTCCTTTTTTCTCAATTGAAATTATTTAAAAGATGATAAAAGCTTTGTTTCCAGGGATAAATTCTGTACTCAGTCTAATTATTAAAAACGATTTTAAACGATCACATTTTTATTTAAAACAAAAAATAATGGGAGCCTGAAAATACTAAAATTAATTTTAAAAAATTGGAGAAAAAATTTTATCGGCATTCGATCCTTTTCTAAAAATCAGCCGATATAAAATATGCACAGAAAAAAGAGGCATGAAAAATCTTGACGATAAGCACAAATTGAAAATTATATCTAATGAATGATTATTTTTGAAAGTTTGCTAAATTCCTATGCAAGGTATAAGTTGTAAAATACTTTTTAAATTTTAATTTGTCCAATTTGTTAATTATCATTTTGAGCCTTTGAGAAGAAATAAAAATTAAAATACATATGCTTACAGACATATTGATAGAAAATCGCATACTTGTTTTTAGTAAAAAAAAATACAAACAAAAAAACAATGTATTGCTTATGCGACATATTGAAGAAAGTGACAATGATACCTAGGTAATTCTTGCAATGGACAATTGAATTGTTTGTTATACACTGACTTTTAGTGAACCTTTGAATTTTTAAAATACTAGTATTGATGGATTAAACAACAACTTTCCTTTTCACACGTTTTTTTTTATATACAATATACAATATTTACAATATTTCATGAAAAATATTTGCCAAATACTCAGTATATGTTCGTTTATACATATCGTGCAAGACTCTTTTTTTTAAATAATTGTCATATACCATTTACTTATTGGAACATTTAATTGTATGAAAAGTCAATAATGTACATTTCTTAAAACTTTATTATCTTGTTTACTTGTCTTTCTTCCTGTGAGAGAAAAAGTTCATAATATTAATAAACAGATGTACTCAGTATCTGTATCAAAATACAGAATGAACAGTGTTCGGTCTCAAAAGAAAAACGGATCCTTGAAAGATCCGGTGCCTAGGAGAAGTAAGCATCTCCAATGACAGGTCACACCTGCTGACCCGCAGTGAGCCTACGAAACTGAAGCTCTCTGAAATTAATTAATTCTCTGCTCGTCCATCCGTTTTTCTCAGACTAGCCAGCTAAAGATCTATGTACAGTACTCCAAATCAATTAATCTAAAGAATTTGAATTATCATTTTATTTTCTTTTTGAGTTGTTTGCTATAGTAGCCTTTATAGTTACCTAATTTCAGAATCAATAGAGCATGAAAGCCAATTAAATTTGCAACTTCAACATAATTTTTTTTCGTTCTGAGCACTTGTGGACGCCACCAATGGAGACAATTAGGGAGAAATTTTTGAAATTGAACTTCCTGTCTTTCGAACTGAAAATCTCAGGTTGATATTTTGAAACAAACATTTGTGACATCAGTCTGGGATGTTATTGGTTATACCATTTAGTTAAGTACTACAAAATTCAGAGTGTGTCTGCTTCTTTGCTGATGACATTGGACAAAGATATGCATGCTTACTTTAATATCATCATTCAATGCATTTTTTGTTATTGTACACTGTACATATTCGATGAAAGCATGCTAACCGCTTTTCAGTACTTTCAGTACTTTGATATTATATACCCATCAATTTCCTTGTTTTTGTTATTGTTAATTTTACAGAGTTTGATCCGATTTTCCGGATCACCACACTGTGGTTTTCTGAATCCATATCACCACTCTCTGAAACTGATGACTTAGTACGCAAAAACATGACATTATTTTTCTTGCGCTTTAAAAAGTCCCTTGTTATTATGCTTTGTTTTATGGATAAATATTATACAATTGATCTCTAAAGTTTTATTCTGCTGTATTTAGCTAGATATAAGGGGGTATATAATAAATTTATCATAATAATAGTATCTTGATCGGAAGATCCGTATCACGTCTCGTTGACAGGCGCGGATCATCAGATCAAACGTTAACTCGACGCTTCGCGTCTCGTTAGATCTGCTGATCCGCGCCTGTCAACTCGACGTGATACGACCCTTCGGATCAAGTTACTGTTATAATGATATATATTTATCAATAAATCAGTTCATTATCCGAGTTTTTACTTAATAAAATCGAAAGTAACATTACGCAAATATTGAGCACACCATTTCTGTTGTCGTTCGCTGCCAGTAAACTGGTTCTTTTTGATTTATATGGGACCAGTTTACGCGATGCATTTCGATTTATTAAAGAATATTCATGAGTTTATTCGGAACATTTTTAAGTTTGTCGTAAGTTGAAAGAAAATGCGAATTGTTCCGAATAGGTGTGTATCAGTTCATAAAAAAAGTACTTCTTTTTGCAGGGAATCAGTCTGTTTTGCAGGGAATCGGTTTATTTACGGTGATTTTCAGGAAATCTTCAAAATATATCTATTTACTTTTATATAGTGAAAAATCAGGAGAGGTTTAATAAATAAGTTTAATATTTAGTGATAATCTAGTGATGAACATAACGAAAGTGAAATGGCAATCAACATTTCTTTCCGATAAAGTTAAAACATGTGTAAAATCTTAAAGTAAACAAAATACGAAGTTACCTTAATGTGTTTTTAAGCGTTTCTCAAGTCTAGAAATATATACTTGGAATGACAGTGCATTGATATAAATCAATAAGGCGACTGATTGGCTCACTCCTTTAAGCGGTGTGTACCCTTTTAAACAACAAAAACTTCCCTTTCAAGTTCTGTCAATGATAAGACTTTTGATTTATCATGATTCTTACAGTCCATTGTCCTTCTAACGAAAGTGAAATAATAACATAGTTTTTTAAAAGATAAGAAAGACACTTATTTTCAAAACATGTATGTATTTTGTTTCTAACGGAGCATAGCCACAGTTTCAACTGAATTATTTAAACTAGTTCTACTATTTATAAGTCCTACTTTGGGCATCATCTGAATGATTGGCAAAATTGTGAACATCATTTGTTGGTTAACAAAGGAGATACAGAACTTAAAGTTCTTATAATGTAGAAAAAGGGTCGTGTATTGTTTTTGTTTCCATACAGAAATATTTATATTTTTATATTTATTACTGTAAACCATTGTGTTATTCGTGTCATATTTTATTCGCGATTCGTCTATTCAAAATCAAACCGCGACAATTAATATTCTCGCCAGAGGAAACGTTCTCTTCAAATACTAATGGAAAATGAATGGTTCGCGTCAATTAATATTCGCAAGTTAGAATAGGTCGCAGAATTAACGATTATTTCTCGCACGTGAATAATAGTTGGTTTACAGTATTAATGACAAAATAAAATTCAGCAAATCAATATATACTTTGAACGAACATATATTAGTATATAAACCTATATATAACCAAACAAATGACATGGTCCTTGTTTACATAAAGAATTGGAGCTCTAAATTTGTAGTGCATTTCAACAATTCACATTCAAATTCTTCATTATCATTAGAAAGACCCTTGTTGAATATTTATAAAAATGAATCATTTTTTGAAAGAATTGATCCCCCTTTCACAAAAATGCTTTGATGCAATCAATTAAAAAACATCAATGGTTTCATAAAATCTTGTGGAAAAAACATACTTTTAAAAATAATGAAAAAAAAATAAATCTACTATTACCAAGTAAGGTATAAATGCTAGTTTCAAATAAAAAAAAATCCGTGAAATACATAATTTTGACAAATTCATCTACTTCTACTCAATCAAATTGGGTCAATTTTATCACAATGAATCAGTTCATGGCAACCTGACATTCAGATAACAAGTACAAGTGGGCATTATTTCTTTGAGGCTTCCTTGTTCCTTGTTTCAAAGAAAAAAAACACATCAACGAATGTAAATAATATATTATCAGTTTTCCGTCTTTACTGGACTTCGATTGAGTGTTTTAAAAAAGTACCATAGTATAAATAGGGGTAAAAATTTAAGAAATTTAGTAAGTTAACAAAATGCAACTCAAGGCTTTACTTCTCCACTTCTTAGGTTTGCAATTACTTAATGTAACAAAGGCTGACCACTTTAGGGGAGGCACAATCAGTTGGAAATCAACAGGAAATGGATATGAGGCGTGTCATGTTATATATATATATTATTCACCTTAACGTCTTGCACTTTTGTGTCTTATTTTTGCATTTTTTTTTTCTTTTTTACGAAAAAAATCAAGGATTTATAATACATTTTTTATATATACATTTCAATATGTGAACTTTTACTCTTAAATTCTGTACAAGAAAAGCATAATTTTTAAAGAATCAAATGTTCACACAATAAATACATGTAATACTTAATGTGTGAATTGTATTTTTTTGTTACAGGTCCAATTTTCCTTTCGACTTGGTTGGAGGTATGGAGCGGGGCCAGGATGCAATACTTCTCGTATCGGACAACTTGTAACTGGAATGAGTTCATTGTATTGGCGATGTACATCTGGATGCACTCCAGCTGTAAACCTCGACAATGTCAATTATATCTGCACTGGTGCTAGTGTGTCTGGAAACTGGGAACAAGGGGAGAGAACTTTTACATATACATTTCCAGGCCCTGGTCCATTCAAAGTTGAGTAAGTCTGTATTTAATCAATCCATATACATCGTTAAAATTAATATACCTCACAAAAAGATTAGATGTTGTAATATTGAATAAATACCAATGATGGCTAAAAATGATTTCGATTGCTTTCATGCCTTCAAGGTTCACTGGCGGTGCATGGGTGACATTAAGTAATCGACCTGGAGGTAGTTGGTCTATTGGAACAATAGTTAATTTGAAACAAAGAAGTGATACTCACAAGCCAAATACTAGTCCAATTACTACAGGAAAACCTATGTATATGTATGTACACACTAACAATATTAAAACTAGAAACTATATGGACATAATGTTTTTTAATAACAGTTCTCTTTGCACAATTTTTATTTTCAAACTTTTTTATCATTGTTAATTTTATATTTTAATGAATTGCGTTATTTTTTTCTCACCAGAGTACAATACAACTGTCAAAGTGACATTCGAATCCCTGTTGCTGATGCTGACGGGGATGACATTCGATGTCGCTGGTCAACTGGAACAGAATGTGCCTCTATATGTAATGCACTGCCTTCTGCTACTATCGATAGTGTAAGATATAACTTTTGTTTGTTTGCCTGTTTCAATTACCTTCCTATGCATGCAATAATTTTACCTATACTACTTTTGAAATAGAGAACCTGCACTATTAAATTTCCATCTAATCACACACAAAATGGGATCTTTGCTGTAGCTGTCACAATGGAAGATTTCCCAAAATCGACGATTTCTATTGGTAGTACTGCCTACGGACCGAACACTCCCATATCTTCCGTTACATTACAGGTAATCAGTATAAAATATTTACCTCATAAAATGACTTTTTCCCCTGTTATTGACAAAAATGAAATTATTCGAGCAAAGACTTGTCAGTTAGAAAACAAAATGCAGTGTTAGCAAAATCTAATTAATTTAGATTCAATATATTGTGCTTCTACAGCAAAGCCTTTTTAGCTCACCTGAGCCGAAGGCTCAAGTGAGCTTTTCTGATCACATTTTGTCCGTCGTCCGTCCGTCTGTCTGTCTGTCCGTCTGTCCGTCTGTAAACTTTTCACATTTTTGACTTCTTCTCAAGAACCACTGGGCCAATTTTGACCAAACTTGGTACAAAGCATCCTTGGGTGAAGGGGAATTTAAATTGTTAAAATAAAGGACCAAGTCCCCTCACAAGGGGAGATAATCAAGAAAAGACAAAAATAGGGTGGGGTCATTAAAAAATCTTCTTCTCAAGAACCAATGAGCCAGAAAAGATGAAACTTATGTGGAAGCATTCTGGTATAGTGTAAATTCTAAATTGTTCAAATCATGACCCCCGGTGGAAGGCCGGGGCCACAATGGGGAATCAAAATTTTACATAGGAATATATAGGAAAAATCTTTGAAAATCTTCTTTTCAAGAACCATTGGGCCAGAGAAGCTAAAACTTATATGGAAGCATCCTGGGCTAGTATAAATTCTAAATTGTTCAAATGATGACCCCCAGGGGAAGGGCGGGGCCACAATGGGGAATCAAAGTTTTACATAGGAATGTATAGGAAAAATCTTTGAAAATTTTCTTCTCAAGAACCACTGGGCCAGAAAAGCTGAAACTTATGTGGAAGGATCCTGGGCTAGTGTAGATTCTAAATTGATCAAATGATGACCCCCAGGGGAAGGGCGGGGTCACGATGGGGAATCAAAGTTTTACATAGGAATGTATAGGAAAAATCTTTGAAAATCTTCTTTTCAAGAACCATTGGGCCAGAGAAGCTAAAACTTATATGGAAGCATCCTGGGCTAGTATGAATTCTAAATTGTTCAAATGATGACCCCCCAGGGGAAATCTTCTTCTCAAGAAGCACTGAGCCAGAAAAGCTGAAACTTATGTGCACATGGAAGAATCCTGGGGTAGTGTAGATTTCAAAATGTCTAAATTATGATCAGTGGGGTAGGGTGGGGATGCATTATGTATTACAAGGAGGAAATCTGGTAAAGAATATAATGGTCAAAGCTTCTCAGGTAAGCGA